ATTTCATGAATTATCTTAATTTTGATTGGCTCACAAAAGAATTTACCGGCGTTTGACTGTTGGTCAAGCTTGATTTCGCAAAATATACCTACTTCAATCAGCAGTGAAATGTGAAGTTAGGGTATACTATGAGTTGGGAGTGAGTGGAAGAACTTGCCCTGTCACTGCTGTTAAAATTAGTAATTTTTGTAGCGGCATATTTAAAAAGCACAGATACTAAATATTCCGTACTTAATTTTTAAACAATTCCGAGGTGATTTATAGTCTAATACCCGTTTCATTTGTCAGGGTTTTATTTTTGAACTGAATCGTGCAAACAAATACAAGTACACAAAATGTTGTTTTTCTGAAGTTAAATGTATTTGAAACCGTTACATCTGTAAGAAAGATGAAACCATCAAATCAACTAATATTCAAACTTACTTTTTAACGAGTTAACTCTAAAATGCACTTTTTTTTTAATAATTCAACTTACTGTAAAGATATTCGGAACAACCATCGTAGCCTTCTTCATCTTCCTCACACTTCTGAGCTGCGGTGTCATGATCACTGAGAGTAGTGGCAAATACACAAGCGCCGTGCTCCACGAGAAACCTTACCATTGGTTGGTTGTTACACGAGGCTGCGCAGTGAAGTGGAGTCCTGTAACAGAACTTACTTTCTGAAATTCAACCTATTTACCAATGCTATTTTACAATAAAAATATCAGTTTACAATTCCTTTGAGAACAATTTTAATATTGCATTAGATTATGGGAGAGGAATAAAAAATAGTGAAAAATAAAACAGAACTATATAAAAAAAGTGTAATTTACGAAATATTACCAGTATGTGAAGACTGACAAAAATATATAACAAAATATCGGTCACTAACCAGCCATCACTGTCTTGGGTATTGACGTCACAGCCAAACTCCACAAGAAACTTGACAATTTCGAAATGTCCTGCACAAATAGCGTTGTGAAGAGCCGTGATCCCTTCATCATTAGCAGCGCTAGGATTAGGCACCTGATACAAGAACATGTTCAAATATTAATAACAACGAGAGCAATAATCACAGCTCAAATTAAGACAAGTTTTAGAAAAACAACAACATTACAACTAGATGGGGTTGATAGAATAATAAAAAAAACGGGTTACGGGTTTTCATTAGCAGTACTTTCTATACAATACACAAAATACATATTCTTGATAATAAGAATATGCAAAGTATAAACAAACAGTTAAACAACAAAATTCGAGCGTTTTACGGAAAGGTTAAAAAATTGTTTGATATCGTTTCCATTTCTTTTCATCTAAGCCTAAAAACATTGGATGGTCACTGATTTCTTACCTCTTTTGTAGTCTTTTTCACGAGCTCTAATTCTCCTTCAAGGGCAGCGTCAAGTAACAAGGCTAAAGGATCAAAACTAACCCTTCGAGAGTTTTTGGTTGAGTTCTTTGTCTTTAGGTTTCCTTTTTTCACCCTCCGCAAGGCAGCGCTGTTGTGTATGCGCAACTGTTCATAACCATTAACTTCATTGTTAGATACGTCAGTATTGGTTTCCAGTGGCTGATCTACAAAGAGAAAACAATTACAGTTAAAAACAAATGCAGTATTGTATACAAAATACTTAATCAAATGTATTTTTTACATCTTGAAAGACTTAAATGCTTGATTTCTTATTTGTAGTGTGTAAAAGAAAAAAAATGCATACAGTATTTCAAAGTCTCTCCATTGGCGGATCCAGCCCATGAGTTTAGGGGTTTGGCGGCTTATCCACATTTTTGGAGTTTGTTTTATATAAAATATTATTAAAAATAAAATTTTTTTATACAATTAATGTTTCATAAAATATTTTATATATATTACGAACCGTGGTGTCTATCCTAGTGTTCGTTTGTCTCCCATTTACGACAGCCGCTTCCTGCGATGCGTTTAAAAAGCTGCGCACGCAGGCAAAGCTCAACATTCACTTTTGAAATGACGGGAGAACAGACATGAATAATGTTAATGTCAAGTTTTATTTCACAAGCAGTATTTTCTACACTAAATTGTTAGGAATTAATCATACTATCATTCACATTTCAAAACGTGACGTAACTTAAATAATAAAAATGTAGATTTACCGTATGTTATTGTTGAGCGGCTCTTAGCATGACTGAAATGTTCAACAATTACTTTTCGCGGTGGGCGATATAAGTAGCTCAGAGCTTTGGTTCTGGGTGAAACCAATAGTGCAACACAATTAACTTTTTCAAAGTCGATGAAATAATTTAATTTGATAAATTAACTTAAACTATTCCCGTCACTGGGGACGCGTACTTTTGCTTGTATGTATGTATGTATGTATGTATGTGTGTGTGTGTGTGTGTGTGTAGGCGTTTGTAACTTCGAAATTTGTCAAGAGATGACAGCACATGCTGAAAGACAGATGTTCCTTTCTTAGTCGACAAGACCGAAGCAAATGATGGAATATTTTCAGATAGGATTGGATGATGAAATAAATATTTGTTTGGTCTTTCTTCTTTTCTATATCTCGCATTATAGAGGGCGATCACATCACACTTGTGATATGGTGAATTGGGGAGGGGGTGCACTCCCTGGATCCTCCAGTGAGTCACTTCCGGCTCTAACTGATCTAAATATCATTTTCAAACAATAAAACTTTTTTAACCTTTCATAAGGTGTGCCGAATTACCGATTTAAACATTGTAATTCGAATAAAATTTGTTATTTCATGTTTTTTTTTTGTCTTTCAGGTTAATAATACGAAATAAAAGTTTAAAATGGAAAATTGGATTATGAAAATAAATATTTGTAAAGAAAAAAAATTACGTGATACGAAGAAAAAATTCTGATTTACAACATTATTTACTTGTGTACATCAGATTATGATGTTGTAATGGACTCCTAAAATTTAGACAAATCTGATTCACTTTGCTGAACATAGTCAACATATTGCCGCTCATGTCATAATAATCGACTTAAACAATGCTAATATTCCCAATGGTGTTTTTTTTTTTTTACGATTAAATAACTTAGGAGTTTCCATTAAATAATCACTGAATAAACCCAACTTTATTCACTGAATTACCTCTGACAATTCAATTTTAAACGTGTAATAACATAAGGCCGTACCTACCAGACACATGTACTTGATCATTTTCTGTGCTGACAGAGTCTCCGTCCCCATCTGGCCGAGTGTTGTTTTCAAAGACTAGAGTGGTGTTTCCATTGAACTGGTCCAACTGATCATTTAGGTTTAGTGGACTCTTGATACTTTCCTGTTTCTCACTGTTGTGGTTAAAAATTACATCTTCAGCTTCTATCATCACTCTGTCTGTGACGTCATTCCCAGAATGATTCTTTGTTCGCTCCTCTGTCCGGACGGATCCGCTTAGGTCAGCTGGAGGCGGTACATTTTCAGGAAACAGAAATGCTGGTGGCATTTCAATACGTCGGTTTATACTAATGTGCACGTTTTGAGAGTTTTGATTGGCCACACTGGGAGATATCTTTTCATTTACCCCTTCTGTTCCTTGTCTCTGTGTGCCCCCGTACTGCTGGCCTTTAAGCCTTGGTTGGTCACTACTTGGTGGTATTTTAACAGTAAGTGGTTTGGGCCTTATCGGGAGCTTTTCTCTTCTATGTTCTTGTTCTGTGTTACCACACAGATTATCATTAGTGGAATCACTGGAAGTGAAATTGGTACTTTTGACGTTACAAGATTCGAATTGTGATGAGCGTGGTGGATGTTCGTTGCGATACACGTGATTCATCGCTTTGGCATATTGGTCAAGGGATGCTTGACCAAGTCTATGAGTATGACGCTGGACAGTTTGCGATCTGCCTAAATACCTGTGGGCAAAAAATAAGATAATAGGTTTTAAATATTGACAAAAGTTAAATTATCTGTATACTTTTACCACAAATTGTGTAATAGATTCCTACGTATTTACTTAACATCTGCACAGCAGCGAAACACAAACTAGATATACTCAGAAACTAGAATAGTAACTTTATGCATCTAAGCCTAATATAAAACGTCAGAACGGTCCGTTGTATTGCCCAAAATGTTAAAATTGTAATTAAGGTACTAAAAGCAAAATAAACAACTTGAAAAACAAAACAAAAATCACAATTATCCAAGAAATTTGTGTATACAGACTGTGTACACACACACCAAGTTAACGTCATTGGCCTTATCTAAGTTGTTCGGTTTAAAAATTCAAGTTATGGGGCCACGACGGAAATCCTCAAATGTTCATTGTCACGAGAAAATTAGTATTAAGTAACGCATTTCAAATAAGTGCTCAAAAGTGTCCACAAACGTATTTACGGCGTAGTAGTATGTTACATAATAGATAACTTTTACATTACTGTCAGTGCAGGTACGTAATAATCGTGTTACAATGAAAGTTTCGTTACAGCAATTCACAAAAACATAGAGTTGTAAATAAACGTCGGGGAGAATTATCAATTTTAAGTATTTTACATTATCGCAGAAAATTTCGGGGAATGTGGACGAACCTGTCAACAAACAGATCATGAGCCATATTTAAACTTTCCTATGTTGATTGTTAACCCACAGTTCTTATTTTCTACGTGTACTTAGAAAGCTTAATGAGCTATAATTAACTTCTTCAAACTTTCCCATGTTGATTGTTAACCCACAGTTCCTATTTTCAACATGTACTAAGTCTTATTCAAATGTTCATACTTCAACGTGTACTATGAAGGCCAAATGATCTATAAATTACTTATTCAAAAATTCCTGTTTGGATTGTTAACCCACAGCTTTTTTTTCAATGTATACTAAGATGGGTAAATAGTCTAGTTTCCTCATTTATAATTTCTATTTTGATTGTTATCCCACAGTTCTTATTTTCAACGTGTACTAAGAAGGCTAAATGGTCAATTTTCATTATTCAAAATTTCCTGTTTTGACTATTAACTCTCGGTTCTTATTTTCAACCATTATAAAGAAGGTTAAATTACCTTCTTTTCTTTATTTAGTTTTTAATTCTTGTTTCCAAAGCTATTTATGCTATAAACCGATTCCTAAATACCTTGATATTGACTGGTTTCTATAAATACGAAATACATCTGTGTACGCAGTTTAAATGCAGTTGTGATATCTCTTAATACCGCTGGAAAAGTGTTACGGAATAGCTCATTTAGGAATTAAAGATAATGGAAGTACATAACGAAAAACGTAAAACAAAAATATTATATTATGGCAATACACGATATATAAATATTTCTTAAGTGAAATAACAGAACTGTATTACTGAACGTAGGCCTCACTTGATGAACAATGTTAATATTACGTTTAAAATAAAGATTTATAAACACATACACAATAATCATAACATAGAAAGCTTAATAATCCTCCAACAAACATTACATGCATAATTTTAATTTATACATATGCAAACAATCCTTTTGATCATTCGTTATCAAATCTTGAAAATAATACACATTTTACTACGCAACACTTCAGGTATTTTACACATGCAATTCCGTTACTATTCTTGTAAAAAATTGTAGCATATTTAAATCTCACTCAGAAATGTTTTTGAAAATATTATTCACAATATTTCTGTTTACACTACTCAGTAAGTCAGTGAAATGTTAATAGCAAGCAAGCCTGATTTTATCGTATTTTGTTGTTGTCAATAGATTTGACTGCGAACTTGATTTGTTAAGGGCGGGAAATGGTTGTTACAATTTGTCATGCTTCTGTGATCCTGTGAGGGTGAAAGAGGGAGGAAAACCTCAAGCGTCAACAGAAAAACACACTTTACCTCATCACAATTCGATAATACAATAGACGCTCCCTGTAGCTGTAAAAGTAAAACAAATATTGAATTATATATGTACCTGAAACGTAATCAGAAACAGAATTATTAATTCTTTGACAAAACGTTTACGAAAATATTATATATATATATTTAAAATACTTTTCAGCCTAGTCATACCTTATCCTTAAAAGCTTCTGTGATTTAAACTGTAATGTCACGAGTACGTGTATATATATGTGTGTGTGTGTGTGTATGCACACAGCGCTTCTAGCTTTCTTGAAGAACACTTTTGACTTAGTTTATCAAGGCTACGTGACACTGTTAACAAATGCAAGGTAGGCCTAACAAAAGTTAAGCCTTTTCGGCTCTTCCTAATGTGTCACGTTCAGTGGTGCAAATATATAAATATGCACATTTTATTCTACGAAAAAGAAAGTATTTCAAGTAAGAGAAGTCCTACCTGAATCCGCTGGTGCTCTTGTTATCCTGGTTCTCAGAGCCTTTCAAAACAGACAAGGCAGAATCTACTGCATCTAACTTTGTTTCTGTATAGCTTCGTTCAGAGGATGAAACACTCTCAGCAAGATAGTGGGTTTGACGAGGTGGAGGCATGGGTTTTATTGGGAGGGGAGGTTTAGGCGGAGGGGGAGGCTTTTCGAAAGATGAGATAGGCAAACTCGTAGTCGATGAGGTGTAAATGACATTGGTTTCTTGTGTTTGACGACCGTCTGACGAACCACTGTGTCTAGGGCTATCCAAAGGTTGAACTTCCGCACGTGGTTGGGACTGGATTGGAAGGATCACATCTGTTTTTGAAATGGGGTAAGAACCAGAAAGAAAGCTTCCTTGATTTCCTGGGACCGAAATATTTGATTTTGGTTTTGGTAATGTAGGTGGCGGTTTACTGTTGGTCGAAATTGACAGCTAGATTAATAGTAAGAGAAATTAAATGTGATAATATTTTACCAGTGCCATAGAAAAGTCTTAAGAATGACATTAATACATTTAATTCCTAATATTTAAGCATAAAGTACAAGCTTTGATACTCATTAAGCAATATGACATGCATTAACAATACAAACATTTTGCATAACTGGTTAACACACACAAATGTAATAACGGTATGTCATTTTATATTTTGCAAAATCCCCCATGATTACAAATCGTGATTTGAAGTTATGTTTTTGTTGCCAATCATTTCTGATACATATTCTGTATGATTACGAAGAAACGACTAAAGTTAATGCCTTATGGAATGAAAAGGCCACATTTCAGGCGTTTGCCTATACAATACAAATCATATATATTTCATATGTTAATGCTTATTCCTTGTCAATGATTATATAGATAACAGAACAAGAAAACATTTTGTCAGTTAACTGTTAACTTTGTTTGAAATTACGACGAGTTTCGTTACAAGAGAAGTTTTTGTAAACAAAATATGTAGTTAAAAATAAATATATATTTGGCATTAATCAAGAGTTGCCTTATTTTATCTATATTCGTAATTTTATTCAAAAACACATTTTGAACTCCACGCTTTGTTTCGGTAATGCCGAGAACATGATAAATAAAAAAATAAAACAGGCATTCACAAAAATGCTCAGAATTTGCTCTTTGGAAACTTTTTCACTTGAACTCAGTCGTGCTTATGTGTGCTTGGAATATTCGGAAAAGAAAACAAAAACCTATATGGAAGCTCCAAACTTGTATTAAGAAAAAAAAAAAACTTTCTTGGATGAATTCAAGTTTACCATTCCTGTGCTGGAAATCAGTTATTTCATAAGTGTTACAATGTTGCGCATGTTTGTACTTTCGATGTAACAATACAGATCGAATGGTCAACGCGTTTTAAGTAAACAGTAATTACTTTGCAAGTTGTACCTTTGAAACGTGTAACGACAATTTGCGCTTAATAATATGTTGTACACGCAATCCTGAAATGTAGTTTCGCTCCAGAAATTCGTCGTTTCACACAGATAAGGGTAATGTAGATTTGACGCTAATGCGTCCTTGGATTTTCGTTTGATGCCAAGAATTTAATCCCATTGTTTGACATACTGTTAACAGTCTAATATTTACTAATATCATTACACTTTCTATTGAAGTGTTAATATAAGCACCCTTAGAAGCTTAATGCTAGAATAAATATCAAATTCAAGTTACATCAGGCGTTCCATGTCAAATGTACCGGCTTTAGAATGTACAGTAATCAAACTAAACACTATCTAATCAAAACGACCATTTTCTAAATGTTTGTAATCTTTATAGACGTTGAACCGAATTGAACTTTGCATCTCTTTAATTTAAAGAAACGAACAATGTCGGATGGAAATCTCCGGGATTACAGATGCTGCCTTGATGAGATTCTGCATAATTGGTTAGTCTATTGTGTAAACATTTCAACCAAGTGACGCTTCTTCCTAGCCATTCCAATAGGAAATTATCTCTTTAAACCAAATGAAGATTGTCTTTGAAAGTGAAAAACAAACAAACAAACAAACAAAAAACCACTTGAGGTCACTTCTTCTCTGTGCTAACAAATGCCCAATATTTATTTTTTTTGAACCTATAAAAATTATAAACGAAGTAGTTGGCTTTAGATTCATGCGAAGAGTGAGCAGTTTTCACTCTTGGTTACTTATGGCTGATTACCACTCTCGTAATTACCGGTTCTTGCAATAATGAGGCTTTTGCCAGTGAGACACTCAGTGTCACGTAGTTTATTTTCACATTTCTCCAACACTCGCATTTTGCATCATTATAGCCTAAGCACGCGCCGAAAAACATTTAAATGTGGAAGAATTGTGACGTGAATTCGGTGAAAGCAATTCAAAATTCACGGAAATGGAAAAAAATAATGGAAGTGGCAGACGAAAGCAACAAACCCAGGATATAACTATTTCCTGACCCTACAAGTTTGCCAAGACTACTTTCAGAGAGTATAGAAGCTATCTTGTGATCCTTAAAAATATCAGGAATTCTTGCATCAATCCAAGACTTCCATAATAAATCCAAAAAGGCTGGTTTGGTGAAAGTCTTTATTAAAATGTCACTGACCCAAAGTCCAAATTAGACTCAAGATCACACGACTTGGTCTATCCAACACTATTCGCAAGTGTACTTCACAAAGAAACGAGTCCAGGCTTTGTATTTATTGACTTTTCAGACCATCATGCCAAATTGTGGAAGCGATCTTAAGGGCACTATAACAACGCTAACCTAGCTGTACACAATCGTTAAGTCACGTGATGTGGTCATCATGATGTGAGGCGACATCAACTTCAGTGAAAATGTCTCAGGATGGCACTCTGACAGCTTTACAAGGGTGAGATCCTAGACATTTAATGTTGCTGTACACCAGCATCATTGGTGTTCAGTTCATCCCGATGGATGACAATGTCTCCCATACTTTGCTTGAGTTATGAAGGAGTTCCTTCAGAGGAAGACCACTTTCTTCAGTATGGTTTCTGCTCGAGACTCTCCAAGAACAGTGAGATGACCTTGCGGAGAAATGGGACTGTCTGCTACAAGTCATCATCTAAAGATTCATCAGGAACATACGAAGACAAGGAAAGGCAGTGGACTATGTCTTTGAACGTTACACTAGCTGTTGATAACCTTTGTTTTCTTTAGCCTCTTGCTGGTCAATTGGAAAACTACTCACATACCTAAAAATTTTCCGTTTTGAGGTGTAACTTCTTCGATGCTGAGTTGTGTAAAGACACGATAAGGGAGTACATTGCGTTCGATAATATGTAAAAAAAAGAAAGAAAAGTATACAACTGTAAGTTAAATACTATTCATGTGTTATTTGCTATATTTATTTTGAAACATTATTCCTAGCACAGTTCAGTATTACATATATTATAAGAATATTTAAGACTAGCTGGAGTACCCATCCCCTGGGCGGAAGTTAAGTAAATTCATGATTAATGGAAGGTTATCTTAGAACACGGAAAGTTGTTTCCCTTATATGTAATTGTAAAAAAACAAAAAAAAGGTCCATAAAAACTGCAAAACACAAAATGTGAAACCCCAAGTTTGCATGTATCTCCCCATGGACTCAATGAGCCTCCATACCAATTTTGATGAAGATCCATCTACAGGGGGCAAAGTAGTGGTGCAAAATGAAAACCGGAAAATTTGTATGTATCTCCCTATGGATCCACTGAACCTCCATACCAAATATGGTGAAGATCCATCTACAGGGCGCGAAGTAGTAGTAAAAAACCGCAAAACTGAAAATTTGTATGTACCCCCCCCCCCCCCGCATGGACTTAATGAACGCTCATACCAATTTTGGTGAAGATCCACTTACAGCCTGTGAAGTAGTTACAGAAAACAGACAGTACTATTATATTTATATAGATTTAATTAACTATGAAACAAATACTAAATCAAATCTGTTATCATACAGATTTAAAAGATAGACTTATAGGTATAAAAATACTATTTTACTTACAGAATTACTCTTAGGTGTAGGCAATTGTCCTTGATTTATGGCATTATTATTACCAGCAATCTGCCCTCTGGGGGCGGAAAGTGTACTGGGAGTAGAACCATAAACCTGTGGAACCAGATGATCAACATGTTGCTGGGGCGGTGGGATTACGGGGTGTCTAATGGGTTGCTTCTGGGGAGATGTTGCAACTTGCTGGGTGTTGGAAGAGGAAACTGTGATTCCTTTTTTTGGGCCATTTTCTTCAGTCGGCTTTGATCCGTCTTCACTCTCCTCGGAACTACTGTAATCTTTTCCATACTTTGTAAACTTCGTATTATATGGTAGAGTTTGATATTTCGGATCATTCTTGTTACTGGCAAACTCACTTAACTCTTGGACGCCTTTTATGCCCCCTAACGGGGCATCTAGGTCGTCTTGTACCCGATCCGGTTCTGCAGATGCATGTTTTAACGGTTCCACTACAACAACATTGGTGTTGAGAGGCCGAGGGTGCGTTTTCGTTGCACCAGATCTCATGTGTGTTTGTTTGGCTACAGTAGCAGCATGAACCTGGCTAGAAATTTGTTGATTTAACATTCGTTTTCGGTGGAGCCGTTGCTGTAGATCGGCAATTCGTTGGTCCATGCCCGAAATATCTTCCTGACGTTTCGACAGTATCTCCCTCTGGTGTGCAATCCGTGCATTCTGCTGCTCATTTAACTTTGTTCGATACTATAGAAACAAATATTATGATTACTGAGCATCAAGTTCATAAAATATTTAATTATTTAAGCAAAACACTCGTTGATTATAAATACACAACTGTCTTTTTTTTTTCGGTTTCCAAAAACAACTAAAATTATCACGCGGTTAATATTAGCCAATGCTTTTTTATAATAATGGTACATAATTATATGAAATTACAATAAGCCTATCTGGGAATTCCATTTTTGCAATTCTCATTATTAGGACTAATTATAGGATCCCCCCCCCCACCCACACACACACTAAGCAAATAATGAACCTATGTATCTAAAGGGTTAACCCTCTAACAACTACTAGTAAATTAGTTTGTAACAACTCTCTCCCTCACAAATGTGACAGTTATTTAGAAGATAAAAGAATAATTTCGGACCAGAGTCACCTTTTCACTTTTTTTAACTTAAACTTCGACAAAAAAATAAAAGACGACTTTATCTCTCTGAATGTAAATACAGTCCCAAGAGAGTTTGTGTACAGGTTTTTACATCATGTGCTATATTAATTTTTGAAAAGAAGTATGGACAGGCGTGATCCATTGGTTAACGTACGCGAATTGTTAATCAAAGGATTCACGGTTTATGCTATTTGATGCAAAAACGCTCTTTGCACTTTTGGGTCATAGGCGCGCTCGCTATAACAACGACGGCCAAATTTCACTATTCGGTCAGACAAAAACAGCCCAAACATTGGTGGCGAATGCCTTTCCTCTAGTCTATCGGTTCAAAATTAAGTGGACTATGCTCAGATAGTCCTTGTGTAGCTTTTCCCGGTAATTCAGAAATAAACAATCAAACAAACTGAAAGTGTATGTTTAACTCTTGACTTTTAGTTTGATCTAAGTAAATACTTTGCTGTGACCGGAAATTAATACTAATTTCTTGATGGAAGTTACTTTCTCTCTGCAGATCTTGACCTGAAAGTTTGCAGAGACAGAGTGAATGGTACAAAAAATATTCACGTATATATCATTTAATTTGGATAACTTAAGAAGTTTTAGTGTTCCTGGTACCACAGACCATTAATTTATTAACAGTCCTTTAGCCTCACTTGTGCCTTTTTCTTTGGAGTGGTACCGCCCCCAAGTGGCACAGAGGTATGTCTTCGGACTTACAACGCTAGAAACCGGGTTTCGACACCCATGATGGGCAAAGCACAGATAGCCCATTGTGTAGCTTTGTGCTTAATTGCAAACAAACATACAAACAATTGGAGTGCTACCACAACAGACATACACATACACATTTTAACGGCGGCTATTTAACAATAAGAAAAGACACAAAGATACATATTTCAATGGCGGTTACTTAACAATAAATTAAAGACATAATAATACATATTTTAACGGCTATTTAATAAATTAAATACCTAAAATGCACATTTTACGGTTATTTAACAATAAATTAAAGACATAAAACTACTGAAAAATATATGAAAATATCCATTGTATTTTTCATTTTATCTTCAGCTATATAGTTTGAAAAGTTTATTAGCGTTCAAATAGATCCGTTGATGTAATTACTGAAATAAATACCCCCTCCCCCCTCCAAAAAGCAATCCTGATTATCAAGGTTTTGTTTCTTTATTTATAGTTAAGCTCAAAGCTATACAATGAGCTATCTTTGCTCTACCCCACACTGGTATCGAAACCCGGTTCCTAACTTGCAAGTCCGTAGACATACCGGGGGGGGGGGGGAAGGGGGTTGAAGGTAATGCTCTTGAATGCAAGCGAACGTATTAAAGATCTGACTTTTCCGCGGGAAGAATAAACACGTCTTGTGTTATTCATAGTAATTTTGTCGTCTAGGACTGTGTGTTAATGTGTTCAGGTTGTTGTTTTAAGTTGAAATATTCAAGGTTCTTTAACTTCGGTAATTGATATTATTACGTTTATAAGATTCGGACAACGTTCTATAACGATATGCGTATTCATTGTGCTTGAATTATTATCATTAAATTTCCTTAGCTTTGTTGCCCATATTGCCACACATTCCATCTAAATAAATAATGTGCTTGTGTTTGTCTGTCCGGAACTTTTCTCGCAAATTTCTCAATCAAACGCTATAAATCTCATATAGATAGAAAGGCCTTTGTCCGAGGAGTCCGGATTGCATATTGGCTTTTCAATTCAGAATCACCTTATCTGTTTTTTGCTTAGTCAAAAATATTAATGCAACAAGTATGCTATACGATGGCACAATGTTGTCATTGTGATGACTGGCTTCGATTTCAACTTTAGTTTTTTTATTTGCAAAATATTTCACACGAACAACACTCATCCCGCGTGCAATTTCCTAAAACAAATGAACATTATACTAAATACAATCAATATGAGCTTTCTCGACTTATTTAGGTCTAAAATGCGTATGTGCAGTTCGTTAAAAACCATATGCTTATCACTTTGTGAACACGCATTCAGACGTTTCTGCATAGTCAGCTAAGTTTGCCTTCATTACAACTTACTTTACATTTATTTTGCAAGAATTTAGGCTCGGTTCGTTACATAGTCTACTATAAATACCTTTTAGCTACCTTTTTCTTTACTACGGGTTATATTCTTCATTTTTGTGAGTTTCTTCGTTTCAACTCGTAAAATCGTGTCACACATCGAACGCTCATTACTGTTTCATCCTCTGTACACTATTATAAGTACCATTACTATACTTTATTGTTTACTTTACGTGTAGTTTTATTAAATAAAGTTACGTCTACGTTAGTATGTTTGTCGGACAGCGTAGTTTTTTTTCCAAATAGACCAGGATTTATCGACCTAACATATAATGCCTGCAAAACAGCGAAGCTTAAATGGCGTGTATGAAAATGACAGAATAAGGAACATTCTAGCGAAGGGCAAGAAAACTACCTCAAATGTTTTGCGGGTCGCGGCTAGTTTTCTATATTAAATTTTAGAATGGCTTATTCATTTAACATTGTTAATTTTTATTCGTTACATATTTCATTTAAAAAAGCCGTCGAACATACAATTAAAAGTTTGTGTACCTATAAATTCCTAGTTATATACAAATTTAAACGAATATTTCAATAATTCAAGGTTGTTTACTAAAGAGAGTTGTTGAAATACGTGTAATATTCTAAGTTAAAATTTGTTAGATTGGTAAATGTAACAAGAATAATTTCCATTACATTAAAAACTTTTATATTACCTGTTTAAGTAACAAACCTAAACAATATAATAATAATTCATACTTTATGGTTCAAAACGCTTGTCAAATACACGAAATTCATTCATGATTTTGTGTAAACATGTAGGTTCAAAAATTAATTTAAGACAAAAATACAAAATTCTATAATCTGCGCGCTTTCGAAAGGCGGACTTTTCTTCATCAGTTTGTCCCTAATGAAGAAAGGTTCATCTTTCGAAAACGCGAAGGTTACATGGTTTTGTCTTAACCACACGAATCACTTTTTTAAACATTAAATGTAAAATACACTTACATCTCATATTACAGAGACGTTTGAATTAGTAAAAACTGTGTGTAAACAGGTAATCTGAGATCTCAAAGTTTTGTTTTTACATTACAGATTATCGTTAAGTTTTGAAATAGGTACTTACGTTAAACATTAGTAAGTGTGTATACTGTATACCAGTATCCACTACTGTCTAATTACAATGGTACTCACCACTAATTCTCTTTTTAATTTCTCCAATTCCATTGCAGCAGGCTGAGATACGTTGGAGTTACAGGTCCTAAGCCCGTTATGATTACCTCGTTTTAGTTCCTCCAACTGTCGCGTGAGGTCCTCCACCTTGGCTACAGCTAATGTCAGTTCTTTTTCCTTTTCATTAAAAAGGGCCCGGATAGACTCCAGCTCTGCACCTGTAAAAAGAAAGACGAAAACTTCAAGTTATACTAGTCATTTGAGAAAGATAAAAATGAAATAAGGTAATAAAAAGATAAAATATATCGTAATTTACCTCATGATATGAATAATTATAATATTTTCAGAGAAGTAAAATTTATGAGATGATAAAATGGGACCCTCAATGATAAGCAAAGTCATGCAGAAAAGCAATTTATAAAAGTATTTTAAAAATATCACAAATTAAGAATAATAAACTAAAACAATCAATCAGTAATAGAAAGTTTAATATGAAAACATAACCAGAGAGGAATAAAAAAAACAAAAAGACGACACTATGAAAATATTTTAATAAGTATGTGAAAAAAAAAGGCTTAAAAGTGAATGTTGAACAAACTGAAAGTGGAAATCAGTTCAAAAGAGGCAAAGCTCTCGAGAATCTCTGTCGTTAAGATGAAGTCGTTAGCGTGATGAGTGACAGGGGACTTTGATTATCTTCAGCTCGATCAAGGACTGTATTACTTTTGTCTTTCAACACAATTTCTTTGAGCTTTCGTATGTTATTATTAAAAGATAAGACTACATTTCGTCCGTTATACTGTTGACTTTATAATCCAGTGGATAAAATATTCGACAGCGTTCTTCTTATATTTTATTAAGGCATTATGATTCCAGTTTTCATTTTAACGCTTGAAATATTCAAAAACACTTGCTTTACAGCAGTGGAGAGATGGTTATTTTTCTATTTTAACAGGTGCTTAAAACAAACAATTAAGAAATATATTTTATCAATGGTTTATAATAAAAACACTTTATCCAGAGTCTCGAGGATGCTTAATTTAATTGGAATAAAAATCCAAACTAAACTTATTGCAAAAGAAATTCAATAATGTTTTAGTTTTCAAAGTTCACTGAAGAATCACTTGAAGTTATGACTCCCTGCAAATAACAAATTGAATGAAGTAAGTAGGGGGCAAGTATGAAGTGATAAATTCTGTGGTTGATGTTGTTTGTGTAAACGTATGCTGCGTTGCAATGCCTGGAATCTCTAGTGAGGGTATTGTTAAGAGGAAACGTCAGAAATAAGATATATGGATCCGCCCTTTGGCCTCCAAGTGGTTATAAAACTCGCACATATCTTGGAATGTTTGAGCTTACAGATCACTCTCTTTTAGTGTGTGTGATCAGCTAAACCTGACTTTTTTCGTGTAAAAAGTTTTCGAGAATGAATCAGTTTTAGATTTGAATAAGGGATTGTTACGTTAAGGTTATAAAGTGTTTTTATTTACGTAAGCGCTTGTGCTACTCGTTGTATTAAAGTAGAACATGTATCGATTTAAAACAGTGAACGAAATGCTTGACTATAACATAACAGTCAATTCTTAATCACGTTACTGTTCTGTCTGTCTATCCGTTTGTTTTGATCTTTTGTGAACTTCTAAACTGACCCTCTAAAGCCCTTGATATATAAAACACTCCACTTCCAAAGTGTAAAAGTTACCAGCTGATGGATGCTCGTGATCTGAAGAAAAAAGATCCCAGCGTTATGAGGCGGAATAAATGCCAAGTCAGGACTTATGTAGAAAGCCAGCTAGTTAACAGCATCCACCGCCAACTCTTGGGCCACTTTTCTCTCTGACTGAATATTGGAATTTGTCCTTCACTCGTATATTGTACCCAATGGCCCTAACGCAGATTCACAGTCTCGGCATGCTAACCACTAAACCATGCCCAGTTTCGTATTAAATATATATTTATATAATATCAAACACACATGGGTTAAATGTTTCACCAAAACGTTTTCATCATTTGCCGGAAAATTCTACGATTTTCATAATTTCAAAAGCACTGTACCAAATCTCGACATCAAACGACTTTAAATAACTTGTATATATATTTTTTTTTATTTACTACGATTCTCAAACACCACGGTACGGGAAAAATTGAAAGTAAGAATAGAATGTGAAAAACAACAAAAAGTTGTTGTTATCGTTATTATTAGGCACAAAGCTAAACAAAGGACTATCTAAGCTCTACCCACCACGGGTATCAAAACCTGGTTTCTTACAGTATAAGTCCGCAGGCATTCCGCTGTGCCACTGGGGGGGGGGGGGGGGGGAGGGAACAACAAAAAGTAAAAATCGTGGCAGACATTTTGACACCACACTTTCTTTTATGGCGTCAGATCAGTTGTGAATCTCCTGCAGGTTGATACAACTTTGTGAAAGTGTGTCTTCTTTTGCTCAAATATAACAAAATAGAATACATGTACTTTTCACATTTTAGAAAAGAAATACTGTGGCTTTATCAATCGCTACTTATTTGGATATGCTAGAAAAAACGACCTTTGTAATCCAGATAATTTTTATTTTAACTGACGTTTCGCCTTTGCAGCTTCTTCTATTGAAAAAGCCACAAAAGAAAAACGTCGGCTAAAAGTTCTCTTCTAATTATCTGGAGTATAAAGGTCGTTTTTTTCTAACTTTATTATCATAATGTGTTAATCCCTCCAGTGTGCACTAAAAATTTTGAAAGACAACAAAAAATATTTGGAAATGTGTTTGTGTGTAAAAACTGGAATGAAAATCATTCTTAAACGGTAACAATAATATCATTTAACAAACAAAAGTAAATAACCATGGGGATGAACCATTTTTAAAAGATAATATTACAGTCAACCAGTAACAACAAATAAACAAAACTAACGTTACATTATCCGATTATGTCGCTGATTTTCTGAGCAAAGCCCATGAAAAAAATCACCATGTGGCGAGTTAACCATGGACTAATTTTACCAACACGTACAAATCATAACCTTAATGCTTGGTGACGTATTAGAGACCAAATAACAATTCTATATATAAGTTATATATACATAATATTATACTGCATAGAGTACTTTATCATAATGTAACACAATGTGCAACTTTCACGATTTTAATGCCGCGTAAAGTGTGGGAAAACTAATCAATACAAAACTAAGTTTGGCTTATCATATGTTAGTACTACATGTTTGTTTCAGAAAAGCTTTTCACTAGTTACTATGTGATCATAGTCTTTCAGAAGTCAGTTAAAGCGAAGGACAGAACCAAGAACAATCAGTTTTCGGCTTCATTCCCTTGCTAGACTAACACAATCAGAATCAGTACTATCCCCCTTCCCTTGCTAGACTAACAAACGTAGAATCGGTACTATCCCCTTCCCTTGCTAGACTAACAAACGTAGAATCAGTACTATCCCTCCTTCCCTTGCTAGACTGACAAACGTAGAATCAGTACTATCCCCCTTCCCTTACTAGACTAACACAATCAGAATCAGTACTATCCCCCTTCCCTTGCTAGACTAACACAATCAGAATCAGTACTATCCCCCCTTCCCTTGCTAGACTAACAAATGTAGAATCAGTACTATCCCCCTTCCCTTGCTAACAAATTTAAGACTATGACTGTGAATCAAAGTTAACCGAAATTTACACAGCCCTTTCTAAATTCAAATGTTTGATAAACACTGCGTAAGGAAACAACTGCAATTCATCCTGTTCTTTCTAACAGTTGATAAACACTACGAAACAATAACAACTGCAATTTGCCCAATCCTTTTCTATTTCCAACAACGGTCGAAGCGTCGTCAAGTTATATTAGTCCATGTATCACGAGGACAAAAAGAAAAAAGACTATCAGACAAAACAATGGAAAGTAGAAAACGATGATCCCAAAATGGGTCACATATGTAAACAAATAAATAAAGCTTATTTACACTTAAGTACTTTTTTTGCTGGCTAAGAATGCATTCTGACCTACTACCTATTTATTTTAGGTTCAAACATCGTTTGCCAAAGACCAAAGGCAAGGGCAGTTACGTGAACGTGTCACCTACATCACGATATCCTCACATAACTCCTACAGTCAACTCCAGTTATGTTAATCCCAAGTTGTTTCAGATGAGGATCAATGTTATACTGACGTTCCATAACATGTGACCTGCTTTGATGACATTGATAGTCATCAAAATAGAGAATTAATATGTTATGTACGTATATTGAAACTAATGAAACCGTTATCATACACCACCTGGTGTGGTATTTTCATCACTTCCAAACTCAACAAGCAACGGCTTAGAAACTACTTTTTTTTTAAGTTTCTATTACGGAGCAAAATGAATTTGAAAAATAACAACAAACATGAGTACTAAATAGTTGTGCATATTGATAGACAAACATTCGGTGTATTTGTTTGTTAGTTTTAGCGCAGAGTTAGACAGTGGACTATATGGGCTGTGTGCACAGCAGGGATCGAGCCCAAAAGTTTAGCATTATAAACCCAAAAACTTACTACCGAGTCACAGGGAGACTATCTATTGGGCAAGTCTGTTGCAATTTAATTAATGCTATATGGACACATAACCACGAATGCACTTTGAACCGGGTTATATTTGAAAATACATTGTTTTCAAATGGTAATTTAGGTGAAAACACTAAATGATATTCTGAAATGAGTAAAATATTTTTACACTAAAACCGTCGGAAAATTATTTAAACACAAAGAAGTTGGGAATCCAATATGCAGTGTGAAAGCTTAGAGAAAGATTTCACAAACCCCAACACATCTTAGTAATTAATACTTTTCATATGTTTACCTAAAAATATGACTGGCCAAAAATTGAAATAAAAATTAGATTCATTTTGTTATGAACTTCAGTGATATTGGGCAGAATTAAGCTGCAACGTTTGTTTCAAGTTCAGTTGAGTAAACATACCGAGTATCTTAAAGAATTACCCGATTTTCAAATTTGGTAGTTTTATTCCTGAATATATAAACAGAAGTTTACCACACTTAAAAAAAAATAAATAAAACTACCCGAATGACATTCTGTTGCTTGTAAAGTTAATTTTTCAGAATAATACATGTACTTCAAAATCCAATATTGTAGCATTTTTGTCGAGTTAAAGGAAGTTTTTGGACCTCCCCCCCCCCCCCCAATTAAGTAGTTTGAGTAAAATAGTGTGTTAAATTAAACT